GTGAGGTGGACTCCAAGTTTTGGGGCCAAAAACAATGGCAGAATGGGATGGGGTGGGTTAGGTACGGAAATAGAAAAGTCAGGACAGGAAATGGTTGGAAGGTGCCGACAGAGCTGGAGTGGGTGCAGGTGTTGATTTGTACTTCACTCTCACTCTGCACTCGCCTGCAGAGTGCAGCCAGCAGCTGGAAGAGATTGACAGGAGATGGCAGAGGAAAGAGGAAAAGAGAAGTCAGAGCTTAAAGAATGCCCATATCAAAAAAAGAAAAGCCTTAGGGAGACAGAGGGAAAGACAGCCTGAAAGGAGAAGTTGATGTTTTTTGAGTTTCCTAGAACAGAGGTCTCCAACCCCGGCCTGCGGACCAGTACCAATCCGTGGCCTGTTAGGAACCGGGCCCCAGAAGGAGGTGAGCAGTGGGCGAGGGAGCATTACTTTGGATCATGCTTCCTGTCAGATCAGCAGTGGCATTAGATTCTCATAGGAGCCGACCCCTATTGTGAACTGCTCACACCAGGGATCTAGGTTAGGTGCTCCTTATGAGAATCTAATGTCTGATGATCTGAGGTGGAATAGTGTCATCCCAAAATGATCCCCACAACCCTGTCCATGGAAAAATCATCTTCCACAAAACCGGCTCCTGGTGCCAAAAAGGATGGGGACCCCTGTTCTAGAAGACAGTAAGGGTTAAACAGTGAGCAATTTAAATTTTTCAACTATCGCTGATAAAAGTGTAAAAGTCCAAAAGAAATCTATGTTGCCAAGTTCAAAGTGTTAGGAATTGATCCAGGTGGTCCCACTTCAGCAGATATAATACGGCAGTCTCCCCTTGTCCTTGAGGGACACCCTGGAAGACCCTGGGTGGATTCCTGAAACTGAAGACAGCACCAAGCCCTATACATACTGTGCACGGATTTCTCTTTCCTTCTTCGCAATTTTGTGGATAATATATTCATTCTTATTGTAGATCTCAGCAACCTCAGGATACTTTTTCTTTTCTTATTAAGTCCAGAACTTTCACCTTTTCATTTAGAGGAAGCACTTTGCGGCTTCTCTTTGGTATATCTGAATTGCCAGCATCACTATACTTGTACTTTGGGGCCATTACCATGCAAAATAAGAAATACTTGAACACAAGCACTGTGACACTGTGATAGTCAATATGGTAACAGAGATGGCTCCTAAGTGACTACGGGGAGGGGTGGGCATACAGCGTGGATCCGCTAGACAAAGGGTACAATTCACAGGCCAGGTGAGACAGAGCAGGATGGCAGAAGATTTCATCTATTCAGAACAGTGTGAAATTTAAAACTTAGGAATTGTTTATTTCTGGAATTTTCTACTGACTATTTTTAGACTGCGATTGACCACAGGTAGCTGAAACCGTGGAAAGCAAAACTGCGGATAAAGGGGACTGCTGTACTAGGAATTGGCCAAAATTTATAGAGCATTTTTTTTCTTTCCCCCTTCCTCCTAGGAGGAGGAAGTACCAAATTATAGTAGTCTTTATAGAGAAGTGCTTCATAAATAACTGCCAACAGCAAACAATGTATTATCCCTGTGGGTCAATCACTTCTTGGAGGTTAAAAGATCATACACGCATCTTCTCTACCATTTCTAGATTTGTATTAATAAATAAGCCAAGTCAGTGAACTCTCTCACACACCTGCTATTGCTTTATATCTTCCTGAAGCAAAAGTTAGAAAGAAAGAAAGAAAGAAAGAAAGAAAGAAAGAAAGAAAGAAAGAAAGAAAGAAAGAAAAGGGAGAGAAGAGAGAGATGAGGAAAAGGGAAGGGAAGGGAAGTGAAGGAACGAAGGGAAGGAAGGAAGGAAGAAGGGAACGGAAGGAAGGGGGCAAGGAGGAGGACAAGGAAGGAAGGAAGGAAGGCAAGGAAGGAAGGAAAGAAGGAAGTCGAAGGAGAGAAAGAAGGGAAGAAGCGAGGGTGATTGGATTGTTTGATAGGAACATACCACCCTTGAGACTTCCCCTCATGAAACATGGATGCAGAGTTTTGGCCGAAATTAAAATTGCTAAGCTGTGTTTGAGGTTGGCAGAGGAAGTGGTACAGAATTTACTAAGACAGGCTGGGAGTGGAAAAAAATTATAACCCAGGTGCCTCACCTTTTCCTCCACTGGTTGCTTTTCCCCCTATGCACTGACGCCTGGGAGCTTATTTACTGAATCAATTAACAAAAGATAACCTCCCATTGTGCAACCATCAATAAATCAATCGTGTTAATACTATCTTGGAATGTCCCCGACTATTGACTTTCATATTGTTTACATTAGCCACTTGAGAAAGCCAGAACCCTTGAGTCAGCCTGTTTGGGCGTTAATGGATTCTGGAGTAGCCATTACTACATATAAGTCTCTTTACAAAATATTTAAGTTTCTCTGAGGTTGACCTGCTTTCTGAACATTGGCGGTGCACTCTCCTCCCTCCCCACACGATCCTGCAGCACCAAGCTTGATGAATACTTAGGAAGGCAAACCATCATGATCAGTAATGGAGCAGTCACTTAAGGTACACCTACTTCTTTGTGATTTGAATAATCTATTTCCACCCACCCCAGCCCCACACTGTCAACCACCTTCAACAATCCGGGGAATCAAGTTAATCTTCAATTATGTGAAAGAATTTCAGGAACGAGTGCAGCTCAAGTTACCAAGTAACTTACTGTTGTGAAAAGATTCATACTGCAAGCTGCCTAAATGCAGGGCTTTTAATGATGTTCCCCGCCAACAAGGTAAGAAAAATCTTTCCAGGCAGTGATAATCTTTACATAGGGAACCTCCAAAACTTCTCAAGCTATCTTTAAAAATGAATGCAACAAAACAAAATCTATATTTTCTCCGTACATATTATAAAAAATAAGGTTGAATATCATAATCATAATTATAAAGTTGGGTTTAGTGGGGTTTTTTTTTTTTTGGTGTCATTAGCATTTCCTTCTTAATGGCATCAGAAATACTTAGAGAACAGGTTTTCTCTTAGAAGTCACAGCTGCTCTGCTTCCAGTCCTAGGTAGTTTGCTAAAGCGCTCTATGCAGAGGGATTAAAAAGGAAGGTTGGGGGGCAGGGAGGTGGGACACCAGTCCAGGGACTATAGAAGGTTCAGATTTCAGTGCTGGCTGCAGACCTGAGCAAAGTTCACTGCTCCCTTTTCACGACATGCTACATACTTTTCAAGTTCCCACTTGCTTCTTAGAGAGGAAAAAATGTGGCCTCCGAGTTCAGGTTGCTAGGGACAAGCTGAGCCAATTTAACCATGCATTCCTTTTCTAAAAGATAGGCTGGGTTGTTGTTGTTTTTTCACTGTAAATACCAGAAAGTCTTGATCCTCCCTACTCTAAACAAATACTTTTGCTACAACTTTGAAGTCATCTATCTCCCACGGTGAAAAACCAAGGATTGCATTCAGTAGCCTTTTCCTGCCTAAGTTTAGACAGAATTGAATAGTATTCTACTTTGTAGCACATCCTCTTATCAGACACCGGGCTTCGTTTTTCCTCTTGATAATGATGGGTATTTAAAATGCATATGACTGTTGGATAATACAACTCCCACTGTTCTAAGGCTTTTTTATTTTTTTTGCTTTGGCCTCATGATATATATGTCTACTTTGGGTGTTTTGAAGAGAGTGAAGGAAACAGACAGGACTTTGAAAGGAAAAACAGACATCTAATTGGCTGTCTCTTGCCGACCCTCCAGTGACCCTGCACTGAATACCTCTAATGGACCTGTGTGATCTTGGAGCCTCTACTGCAATAAACAAGTTTTAGACTTTCAACTTGTTTTTGCAGCAGAATTCTTTATTCTTCTTAAAATTGATTTTTTTAAAAAAATAATTGAGTGAGCAAGGCATTAGCATAGGTATTTTACACAAAAGGGTGAAATGGTTTTCTAATTTTATAGATATAATATTTTTTAAAAGAATTCGGCTTCATTATGAGTTTAGTTCATGTTAGTGTGTCATTTTACATACTCTAAAAAGTGGAGTTTTTTTTTTAATATGGAAAGCAAGTATTTACCTTCAAAGCAGTAGTTACTAAATTCAAAAAGTTCAGAAAGTCAGTTAGGAGGCAATAATCTTAACTCCAAAAATTAATAACTCTCATGACATTGTTTATGTGAAACCTTGGAACTTCCTGTGCTTTGAGTCAAGCTAGAAAATAGTAAGAGTCAACTCAAATCCTTTATGCTTCAAAAAACACATGAGACTGTTGAACAGGCTACATTAAGTAATGTGGGGGTTAATAGGGAAAGCCCCCATTTCTACTTTTGTCAAAAGACTAGGAGACTCAGCCCCATCAGAGAGCTTTGCATTTCCCCTGCCACCTTAACTTCATGGGAACTGCCAGGGTACACTACCTCCTTTCTTTTCTTTCCCTTTTCACTATCTAGCATTTCTTCCCTTCTATTGTTCTTTCTTCATGTCCATGTTGACCTTTTTTTTTAACTTATCATCTAGGATCAATCAAGGCCTGCCTTGATGTTGCTCTGTGTCCTAACAGCAATTCTTCCTGGAATTGTCTGTTCACATGGATGTCTAAATGTTTAAGCACCCATGTAAATACTATGGTATCACTTTCTCATCAGCAGGGCTTCTGTGAGTTACAGAAAGACTGAGACCAATGCCACCATTTGAGATTCCAATATGTGAAATAATAAAGACATCCCCTAACAGGATTTTTTAATGAATTAGGCTTTATTATTTGATATTTACAGTGTTTTCTGAGAGTGTTCAATATAATAGAGGTAGTATTCCAGTTATTATATATATTTATTTGGAAATAATCCCAAAACTCTACATTATAGGCATGAAGATGGGGCTTGCTTCCATCTGGCCCTCCTGCCACCTTCAGCAACACGCCCCACATCCAATCCTGCTTACAGTCGAAGATGAATCTGGCATAATACAAAGAGCACTGGACCGGAAGCATGAAGTTTCTCTTATCTGTGCCTTGGTTTTCTCACGTCGAAAACAGAAATGTTGACATAAATAATCCCACAGGTCTCTGCTAGTACCATTTTGTGATTTTATATCGTGCTTACCACACCTAGAAACAGGCACCATCATTCCAGCCAGCTAACAGAGAAAAATAAGATAAATAATCAGGCTTGGGAAAATACGTTTCGTAGACCAAGTAAACAAAGACAACAATCTGGTATAAGCGTTATAACTGGGGGATGAGGGATTGCAAATGGAGATCCACCACAGTCAACTCTACTTGAATTCCCCTGTTCTCGACAGGCAGCAGCAATCATAATGGACTTGGAGCACCAGTCCCACAACATCACAGGACATCCAGACATAATTGCATTAATACTCGAACAACTATCTGGTTACTCAGCATTGCCCAATATGTGAATAAAGCTCCTAGGAAAAATTAATGCTTGCTTGATGCTTTGACACATTTCCCTTTACAAAGCAAAGATCCCTACTCCTCTCACTTTCTCACATGTAGCATTACAACTAGTCAGCATCCACATGAGGCCTTATAATTAAAGATCTACTGAGAGGTAGGTCCAAGATCCAGGGTAAGGAGAGATCAAGCAGAAACAAAATACACAGCCATTGCTCTGTATCTTCAGGAGATTGGTTCCAGAATCCCCTTCAATGCCAAAATCTGCAGATGCTCAAGTCTCTTATATAAGATGGTATAGTGTTTGCATATAACCTACTCATATCCTCCTGTATACTTTAAATCATCTCTAGATCACTTACAATACTTAATACAATGTGAGTGCTATGTAAATGGTTATCATACTGTATTTTTATTTGTGTTCATTTTATTGCTGTATTATTACTACTTCATCTTCTTTTTTTTTTTTTAACAATTATTTTTAATCTGTGGTTACTCGAAGCTGCAGATGCAGAACCCAGGGATATGGAGGCCCAACTGTACTTTTACTTTATTATGTAGGCTATGCTAATATTAATGACTAGAATGTTATGTTATTTCTTCTCAGATTTCAATAACAGTTGAGCCTCAGGGTCAAAGTATCAGGCACTAAATTGAAGAGAATGCTGATGATTAGGACAGGAAAGCAACTTAAGCATCTATTAGTCCAGCCTACTATGAAAAGTAGGAATTCCTTCAACAAAATTCTCACACATGCCTATCCAACTTCCCAATGATTAAAGCAATAACAACAGTAATGATAATAATAAACACATCTTTCACACTTACTGTGTGCCAGACACTGTCCTAAGTATATTGAGTACTGATTGTGAATCAGCACTGTTCCTAAGACTTCATAGACACTTAACTTATTGAATCTTGAAAATGCCTCTAGGAGGCAGGATCTATTATTGCTCTTATTTGATAGATGAGTCAATGGAAACAGAAAAGAGTTAACTAGTTTGCCAGAGGTCACAAAGTTAGACTGAGAAGAGCTGGACAATTGCACTAAACAGACTAGCCCTGTAGCCTGTCCTGCTAATCCTATGCTACCAATAGGGGCAAAGGACAGAGACAAAGTAGGGGATTAGAATCCATTTCAACACTACTTTAATTAATAGAAAGATCTTCAGTTTTCTGAGCAAAAGCTGCCTCCTTTAGTCTTCATATTACCCACTAGTTCTAAACAGAATAATTATTCCTTCTTCCATTTGACAGTGCTTTTTTATCAAAGATTGACAAACTATGGCTTGTAGGCCAAATCTGGCCCACCATCTGTTTTTATATGGGCCATGAGCTAAGAACGGATTTCAAGTTTTCAAATGGTTGGGAAAAATATCAAAAGAAGAATAATATTTTGTGACACATGAAAATCACATGAAATTTAAATCTCAGTGTCTATAAATGAAGTCTTATTGGAACACAATCATACTTCACTTACATATTGTCTGTGGCTGCTTTTACTTTACTATAAGTCGGAATTAAGTACTTGAAAAAAGACCACATGGCCCAGTAAAGCCTAAAATATTTACTATCTGGCCCATTGCTAGAATGTGTGCTGATTCTTGCCTTAAATAGTAGAAGGTGGTTCTCATGTCCTTTCCTAAAAGTGCTCTTTTTTATAGTAAAATACCTCAGGTCCCCCCAACCACCACCATCTCATTATCCCGGAAACTCTCCTCTGGCATTCTTTGGTGCATATTCTATCTCTCTCAAAATTCTCCTCAGTGGTATATGGCTACGATGGAATACTACTCAACAATAAAAAGGAACAAACTACAGTAGAGACACACAACAACATAATGAATCTCCAAACCACTATTCTCAGTGAAAAAGCCCTGCACGTCTTTTTCTCACTGCATAATTGTATCTACAGGAAATCCTAAAATGGGTAAAATTAATCTAGAGTGAAAAATTATATATCAAAATAATGGTTGTCTTTGGAAAAATGGGGCAAGGATTGGTGGAATGGGCATGAGAGAACAATTTGGGATGCTAGAAGCATCCCAGATCTTGAGAGTTGTTTGGGTTACATAGTTGTATATATTTGCCAAAATCCACCAAAATGTACATAGTTTGAACATTATACTGTATCCACCTCAAAAACAAACCTTGTAAGTAAATATTGCATTCTAGTTAATGATCTGCATACTGAAAAGTTTAGTGGTAACGGTATCAAGGCACGCAACTCATGTGAAATGCGTCGGAAAATCAAGATGTTTGGATGATTGGGTGGAGGGAAGGACAGATGGCAAGAGATGTGAAAAAGCAAGAGAAGTAAAGTGTTCATTGTCGAAAGTGGGTGATGGATACCTGGATGTTCACTATCTAATTCTTTCACCTCCTACATTTTAGTCTTGTCACAACAAAATTTCCTTCTAAAATAACATTTTCAAAGTAAAATTTTTATGATAAATGGGACAGACAGATAAAGGTAATGTCTGGCATGAAACAAAGTACTCTAAAAGTTGCACAAAGCAACATCATTATTTCCCTTCCTTTGTCCATTTTTATGTTAGCATTTATTTTCCTTTGATGTATCTGATTGGACCCTGAAATATCTACCTTAAACGTATCCAAAAAGACATCTTGGGTATAACCATTGGGACTAGTGATAAGAATTTATTCTATAATGGAATCTAATTCCATGGCAAGAGGCCAACTGTCATTTCTTTGTTTAAATTTTATGATAAGAGATGCATACAGTGAAAGACACAGAAACAGACCCAGTCAGATGCCTCCACCAAATCCACTTGTGGAAAACTGTAAATTCCACAAGTGAGTTTACACTCTTGTCTCATGAATGTGTAGAAAGAATAATGCATTTGTTTGTTTGATTATAGCTGAATTTCTGCCTTTGTAACCCCACCAGTAGGTGGTCATGTATTTCTCATACTGAGGTTCACTACCACTTCACAAACAATATGCTCAACACTGTTGCAAGCATCAGATGAGTGTGTGTGCATGGCAAAAATTCGAAAAAGTCCTCAAAATATGCAGCCTAATCTCTGGATTAACTGTTTCTTAAAGGGCCTCTGCAGTGTATAATCTGCAGACTGGTTCTGTTGCTTTTATGCAATGCCAATATTATTAGTAGCAATAATACAATCACGCTTCAACTATTTGGAGGTCAATTAGCTGGAAAGTTCTGCCTTCTGAATGGAAGCTAAGAAACAAGTAAGTAAGCAAGAAAAATTCTGCGGGCAGTCAAAATAGCTGCAAAAGCTTCAGGGTGCCAAGCTCATATATTTGCTCATGGGAGAGTCTCTAAAGCCAATGCTCAAAATCCTATGATGCTTATTTATGCAAAATTCTAACAAGCCTGGGTTTTCAGCTCATAATCTAACAGAGGTCGCATATAGGCAGGCACGGTGAAAGCACCAAGAATCGGAAGAGTTATTAGTCATCATTCAAAAATCAGAAAGGACTACAATTTGGGAGGAGGGAATTCAGGGGTGGAAAAGTCCACCTTAATGCTACCAAGTTAGCATTTTATAAACTATGTTCCTAAAATTATAGTTCCACAAGATATTAAAGAAGGATTTTTAAAAATAAAAAAGAGGACTGGAATGGTGGCTCACACCTGTAATCCCAACACTTTGAGAGGCCAGTGCAGGAGGATTGCCTGAGCCCAGGAGTTCTAGACCAGCCTGGATGGCATAGTGAGACCCCCTCTATACTAAAAATCAGAAAAATCAGATGGGTGTGGTGGCATGCGCCTGTGACCCCAGCTAGTCTAGTCAGGGAGCTCAGGTGGGAGGATCACTTGAGCCCAGGAGGTCGAGACTGCAGTGAGTCATGATCGTGCCACTGCACTCCAGCCTGGGTGACAGAGCAAGACCCTGTCTCAAAAAATTTAAAAAAGAAAATAAAAAGTTAGAGGAGGTGCTATCTTCATATATGTTTAGAAAATACTGGTCTAATAGTGCTTCAATATTTCTATTGTGATTGTAGCAAGTTCTAGAAAGAACTATTGATTTTGTGGTTGTTCTTCCTTTCCTCACTCCACATTTTTTCTTTTATTTTGGCTGAAACTTACAGATTTTGTTTTTTCTTCTCATCATAATGATGTCCATCAGTCTGTCTGAATCTTCTGGTCTGGGTGTGGCTCTGACTTTTCAAACACCCTTCTTAAGCAGGTGTTTCCTCTCCTATCCCAAACATTATATTCTCTTTAGTTTGTGTTGTACAGATTCCAGGCCACATTTCTACTTTTTGAGGACAGCTTCCAAATCATCCACATGTTCACTTTCTTTTCCACTTCCCTCAGTTTTCACTTCCTACTTCCTTTCCCCATCTTTTTCCTCTTCAGATTGTATGCCAGGCATTCTTTGCCTATACTCTGCTTTGAAATCCTTCCTGCATTTCCTCTCTATCTCATAGCTTTGCAATTTTTGCTACTCTTGCTCCCTTCCTGCATATTTCTTTTATATCATGAATCCCAACTACCTCTCCTCTCCTGCCAAATCAAATGCATAAGCTGAAAGCCACCTGAAAATCCCCCTTCTCTTCCCATCTGTGCAACCCCACTAGTTGACCTTCAACATGCATTTCTCCTAAGTGAACCCACCAGCATGCATGGGGAAAACGGATATTAGTTCATTCCTCTTCCCTGGCAACCCTTGAGTATAGGACTATGAGCCCCCCTGACAAATAATGTCCTCCATGCCATCAGCATTGGATT